CTCTATCTATCTATCTATCTATCTATCTATCTATCATCTATCTATCTATCATCTATCTATCTATCTATCTATCATCTATCTATCTATCTATCTATCTATCTATCTATCTATCTATCTATCATCTATCATCTATCTATCCATCTGTCCATCCATCCACCACCTATCCTCTATCATCTATCATCTATGTGCTGGGCCCGGAGGTAACCTGTGAAACATAGTCCAGGTCCAGTCCAGAATCCAAATGTTCCGCTCGGAGTTAGTCCGACAGGGTCAAGGCAGGACACAAGGCAGGATAACAGGCAAGGACAGGTACAGGATCTCAGGCAGGATCTAGCATACAGCAATGTTGCTCCCGCAACCTGGGATGGGGTCCGACAGCCTTTTATCTTTGTTGGGGTAACGGCCAGTCCTGATCCCCCCCAGTGACTCACCTCCCTGTTTCGCCCGAAGGCAAGCACTCCTCCTGCGAGTACCCAGGTCTCTCCTTCTCTCAGACCTTAGTCTCTGCAGCTCGGGAGACATCGGTGGGTTACTAGACCAAGAGGGCGCCTCAGCCTCTCCTGACCAAACCGGTAGTGGAGCATCTGTAAATGATGGCCCAGCTGAAGGCAACGAGGTAACCCCCACATCTGGAGCCAGGACAGACTCAGGCCCCTGACCCGGCCCAGCTGGTGTTTGTTGCAGGGGAACTCTGCAGACTGGGACTCTTCAGGATCAGGCCCCAGACTTGGTTCAGATGATGCCTGAGGCAAAGGATCTGGTGCAGAGTCTCTTCTGGTTCCGAGTCTGAGCCCGAGTCCCAGGCCATCACAATCTATCATCTATCCCACTTGATTGTAATGATACCTCAAAGCGGCTTACAAAAACAATACAGTTGTTCACCAAGGAGTTAAGGCATGCCACATGATGATGATGATGATGATGATAGGATTTTTAGAACTGCTCTCAAGGTTCTTGTAGGTGATTACTTGTGGATATAGCGTGTGTGAATGAATCAATAATTTTTAAAATAAAAATAATTGTTTACCAAACAAGGCCCCCCAGTAGTAATTTGGATTTATCATTTTGCCCCAAAAATATTCACATCACACATCAGCTCACAGAAATCATTCCATGGTTGGAGGGTTACCAGTGTGTCTGTGCGCCCGCACATATGTGTGTTGCATAATTTACAATGGGGTGAGGAACCATGAGTCTAACAACACACGGAGGACCACATTCCTGATTTATACAACAACTTAATCGTGTTATAAAATCATGTCTGTATACCAGCCCCTTAAAGAACACTGAAATATGTATATAATATCATCTAAGATGTGTCCTGAATGATTCATGAGCTGTTTTTTTTAAAAAAGCAAATATTGAATAAATAATAAGTGCTAAATATTTATTAAGTTCATTTTATCTCCTATGGTTTACTACGAATAATATATTTATGAACAGCTAAGCATTCCCAGTATGACCAGTACAGTAGAGCAAGTCTTGTTTGTTTGCTCCCTTTTTGATGTGCAAGGCAGTTATTTGATTATTTGATTTCTGTGCCCTTCTCCTCATGCAATGTTATCAGAAGGCCAAAACCACAACTTAAATTACATTGCTACTGTACTAAAAAAAATGTTGAGAGGAATAGCCTGTGCAAACAGCTGTCTACTGCTGTGTCGTGGTGACTCATGACTCTTCCTGTCTACTTTGCCATTGTGAATCACTTCGAAATTACAATAAGCTGATGGGAGTTGGAGCCCAACAGCAACTGTACGGCTACCAAGTTAGCCACCACTTTTGCAAACATTTGTTTTCTTCTATGTATTTCTAGATGGCCAACTCATTGCATGACCAGGCGGCGACAGCCCCAGCCCCAGGGATCATAAGGAAGGAATAAAGACTCTGACAACGTTATATGGAATTAAAATTAGGCCACAACTTTATTAAACTTCCGAATGTAGGAAGACCTTGGCTTAGGCCTTGGGCGTGTATCCCTCCCAGCCCCCCAGCCGGGGAGAACTGGGGCTCATCAGGGTAAATGGGATATGGGGGTGCTCTGTGAGACATAAGTGTAACAGGTAGCAAGCCCATATCCCAGAACGCAGGGTAGTTCACTGATGACCTTTCAGCGTATGGCCAGTGACACCCATATATATATATACAACCCCTTTAAGAGGGGGACCCTGGAATCGCCGCCGCAGGGGGGTGAGTCACCACTTCACGCCACTCCCCTCCCACCCCAATATAGGGAAGAAAAGACTAAAGGATTCCACCCAAGGCCATAACCACCAAAGTTGTGAGAAATTGCTGCGTGGAAAACAAAACCTGTCAATGCAGGAAAATTTCTTTCTGATCCTTCAACAGCAACCAGTCAAAGACCGTAGCAGCGCCTGCTAAACAGGAAGAAAAAGTTAACTTGCAAAGCATGTTCTCCTTCATGGAGAGCACGTGTTGGGGTGGGGTCTAGCAAGTCATCCCTCTGTTGCTGGGCAGGTAAGTTTAGATGGCCACGTTTGTGATTGGGCTCCTCTATGTTGTTGGGGAGATTTTAATGTTTCTATTTCTGACTGACAGCCTAGTAGCTTTATATTCCCTGCGCGCACTGTTGAGCTTCCTCTTTTCACTGCGTGCTTCGGATCACCCGCCCCCCCCTCCCTAAGGTTAGGCTGTTTGCTTGACCTTGCTATGCCTGTCATGGGGTCGTCTGCTTTGGGGCAGAGGCCCGGTAGGAATTTTGTCCATTTGGCTGATTGGCTGCTGCCATTTGGTTTTTGCCTACTGCATAGCAAATTGTCACAACTTGTAAGGTTGCAGTTAGGCATTGGTTCTATGAATTGGTTGGTGGAGGGGTAAGGATTGGCTGTGCCTGCTCCTCCAATGCTGCTGCTGCAAGGGTATTCCGTTAAGGGAATCCAGGGGCTCGCCATGCTCTTGTCCAAACCCTTGTCAAGGGGCTAGGGCCACGCAAGAGCCCCTGGGAGCATTTGGGGAGAGGTGAGGTCCTGGCACCCAGCTACATTTTTCTCCCCAAAATGTTTTCCCTTTCTGACTTTTGCAGGCTTGCGGATGTCACTCTGTCCCTGAGTGGGGACAGATAGTCAGAACCAATGCCTAAGCAACCACTCACATTTTCTGTATTTTAATAAAGTTGTGGCCAAAATTATGCCAAAAATCTTAAACAAAAATTCTGTGTGAATTGTGTTTATTTTGGGGTGGCTTGGGGAACAAAGGGAGGGCAAGGAGGGTGAATCTCCAGAGCTGACTGCCTGGCTATTGTTGGCTCCACCCCCTATTTATAAACGGGGCTGGCCCCACCTCCCAGCAAGAAACTTGATTACTGAGGCTGGGTGTGAACCTCCAAAAATTAAAACTGAGAGGCAAGCCAGCCCCTGTTTTCCAGTAAGCTCCCTGGGAATTGTAGCACCAGGTACAATCCCGCAAAGGGCACCCACAATGTAAAGTGTGAGTGCTCATTAGCCGTAATCATGGAGGTGAAAGCAAACAGGTAAAAGATCAATACACAATATTTGGTGGTGTAAAATAAAGTAATTAAAGCACCACAAAATGGTAACATCATAAAATGCCGAACAAATGACCATATAGTGACACACACTCTTGTGAATTAGTTCCGAATGGCATCCCTTATAGCACCTGTTATCACCAGAACACTGGCCGACCCATCTCTTTCTTCGGATAACGATCAAGGGCTTTGGTGAGCCATATTGGGAAGTTCACATTTAAAGGAAAATAAACCGGGCAAAATAGTGGCTGAAACGCCAGATCTCTAACCTCCGCCCCCACCCTTCACCGCCTCGCTCCCCTCAGCTGAACAGGCTCAACAACTGGCAGCTCTTAAATTTAGACAGCCTTGGGGTAAACGTGCAAATAAGCTGCAAATTAAGCATCCCTTGACAGATGGAAGTTTGCGGAATGATAAAGACCAGACCCAGCCCACAGCACAGTGCTGACAAGCGAAGGATTACACCGTCTATGGGAGTGTGAGCCACGTGTTCGAAGTGCCTCATCGCAAAGGAAGGTACATGCACTCAGATAATCCCTCAACTCCCCTCCCCCATTGCGGTGATTTATTACCAGCAACACTCACCGCAGTCAAAATACTGAGCCCCCCTAACACCTCAAAGTCTTAAGCCGGTACTCCTCTACGCAGGAAGTTGCTAGTTTTGCAACCCCACAGAAGGACTACAGGATTTCTTAGCAACAGCTTGAGTTAGAGATGTCCATTGCCATGGATGCAATCTAAGGATTTCAAGGGTCTCTAATAAATTCATCTGAATCTATGGATTTGGAACCAAGGCCACATGGGTCTTAGGTATTCAGAACCCTACATGGGCAGTTTAGACTGTGAAATATACTCGGAGTCGAGAGTGGATTTCATGCTCTTTATTCAGCTCATAGTGGGGAGGAGGAATGGAAGTTCCCCCAGAATGTCTGCTTTATATACATTATTGTTATGTACTGAGTTGAATAGGATCCAAAATGCAGCAGTCTGATTGGTCCTAGAACAATAGGATTCAGAATGCAGCAGTCTGATTGGTCCTAGAACAATGCAGCAGTATGATTGGTCCGCAGGAGCCACCCAATCCAGCTCCAGATGGAAGTGAATCCACAACCTGATTGGCCTACAGGAGAATCCCGGAATTAGCCAATCACGTGCAGCCCATTGTGTAAATAATGTATATAAAGCAGATACTTTGGGGAAACTTTCATTCCTCCTCACCACTATGAGCTGAATAAAGAGCATGAAATCCACTCTTGACTCTGAGTATATTTCAATTATTTACACAGTGGGCCCCACGTGATTGGCTAATTCCAGAATTCTCCTGTAGGCCAATCAGGTTGCGGATTCACTTCCACCTGGAGCTGGACTGGGTGGCTCCTGTGGACCAATCAGACTGCTGCATTCTGAATCCTATTGTTCTAGGATCAATCAGACTGCTGCATTTTGGATCCTATTCAACTCAGTACATAACAGACTGCAAAACAAAAAGACGCATTCTTGTAGGATAGCTCATGTGGTAGAGCATGAGATTCTTAATTTTGGGGTTGTGGGTTCGAGCCCCACGTTGGGCAAAATGATTCCTGCATTTCAGGGGGTCAAACTCGATGACCCTCATGGTCGCTTCCAACTCTACAATCCTACGATTCTATGATTAGTTTTTATCTGCACAGCAGCAACGGATTAATGACACATTGCAAGAAATGAGGTGCACCTTGGTGTTTGCATTTTAGTGTGGTTCGTGTTTTTAGCTCCTAACCACGTTTGCCTCCTGACGCTATTGTAAGGAAGGGAGGCACACTTTGCAGGGGAGAATCTGTAAGCAGGAGGAAGCAGCTGACAGTTTTCAGGCATGCCAATCCCTTCACCACATTGCTTCCCACTGCCATTCCACCCACACGTACGGCCATTGGCCACAACACCAGAAATAATCCCAATAAAAGCTGGAGAAGGGGTGGCTGGGGAATGTGGGAAGAGTCTAGCACACACTTGCTGTTTTGTGCAAACAAATCTCTTGTGCAAACAAGAGTCAGTGTGGTGTAATGGTTAAGAGTGGTAGACTCGTAATCTGGTGAACCGGGTTCGCTTCCACGCTCCTCCACATGCAGCTGCTGGGTGACCTTGGGCTAGTCACACTTCTCTGAAGTCTCTCAGCCTCACTCACCTCACAGAGTGTTTGTTGTGGGTGAAGAAGGGAAAGGAAAATGTTAGCTGCTTTGAGACTCCTTCGGGTAGTGATAAAGCGGGATATCAAATCCAAACTCTTCTTCTTCTTCCATCTACACACTCATAAGAAGCATTTATTTACCAGTGTAATGTATAGATACTCCTTTATGCACGATAGAGCCATTACGCTTTTAAAAAATTATACAGCCTAGAAAGTTAATCTCTCTGTTTGCTCACATCACAGCACGCAGCCCAGCCATTCCCTAGTTCTTCCGATTGTAAAACCTGGGGTAGATTCTCTGGAAGACTGGCTAAGGTCAGGGAGTGGATCCGTCACAAACTCTCAGCTCTGTTCAGCTTCTGGACCACAAGGAAGACCGCTGCTGCCAAAAAGCCTCATGAGCTACAGAAGCCCTGACGTGTGCAAAATCAGGGCTGGGCGAGTTGCCGCTCGATGTCATTTTTATCATTCTAATAAGCAACTCATTAGCAGGCCTATTTTAATCTGCGAGATGTCTCTTGGTAGGTGCTCAGGCTTGCTCAGAGGCCTTGAGATCCCAGCACTTGCTCCAAAGGCAGCGGCTGTTTTGGTTTGCTTAAGAAAGCATGTTCTCCATCATGGAGAGCACGTGTTGCGGTGGGGGCTGACAAGACACCTCACTGTTGCTGGGCAAAAGAGTTTTGGCCTTCTTCAAGCAGGGGCGGGCTCTTACTGGGGAGATTTATATGTTGCCATTTATTGATTGACAGCCCTATTTGTTAAATACACTGCACACAGCAACGACCTTTTTCTTTTCACTGCGTGCTTCGAATCACCCGCCCTCCCTCCCTAATGTTAGGCTGTTTTGCTTGACCTTGCTATGCCTGTCATGGGGTCATCTGCTTTTGGAGCAGGGGCCTGGTAGGAATTTTGTCCATTTGGCTGATTGGCTGGTGCCATTTGATTTTTGCCTACTGCGTAGTAAATCGTCACAACTTGTAAGGTTGCGGTTAGGCATTGGTTTGGGAATTGGTTGGTGGAGGGGTATGGATTTGGCTGTTCCTGCCCCTCCAAAATGCTGCTGCTGCTGCAAGGGCTTTCCGTTAAAGGAACCCAGGGGCTCCCCATGCTTTTGTCCGAACCCCCTGGCAAGGGGCTAGGGCCACGCAAGCCCCTGGGAGCATTCTGGGGAGAGGTGAGGCATGGTTCCCAATCCCGTCTCTCTCCCCAGGTGACTTACCCTTTCTGACTTCGCAGGGGTGCAAATGTCAGACTGTCCCCGTGCGGGGTCAGTTAGTGCTACCAATGCCTAAGCAACCACTCATGTTGCTGTAATTTAAAAAAGTTGTGGCCAAAATTATGCCAAAACCCTTAAACAAAATTTAAGTGTCATTGTGTTTTTATTTGGGGGTGTCTTGGGGACCTCGACGCGCAACATGCCATAGCTGTTCCCTTCAATGGGGAGCGAACACCAGGCTACTGAGACCTGAAGTCACTAATGCTACTACCATGTGCGGGAAAATGTAGCAAGCAACACCAGACTCGTGCTTCAAGTACCCTCTGCTCAGTAACTCTCATCCGGTAATCCTGCTATAATGCCAAACATCTTTTCATGTCTCCTCCAGCCTTGACCCACAGACTGGCACATTTCATATCTCTTCATCCAAGTGTGTTCGTATGCTCTGGTATGGGGCTGATAAGTAAGATTAGTAGGGGTGTTTCTCTGCCACAGCTATGACAAATTCCATTCTCAATTTAGAACTTACTCCAGCATTTGTGCAACAGGAGCGATGGGTGAGGTGTTATGACATGTTTATGGTGCTATACAGTTTGGGGGCGGGGGTCACTTTCAAGATTTGTAAGGAGAAATTCAAAAACAGAGGTTTGATGTTCACTTTTATGAATCTCTGTCTGGATTTACAGTGGTACCTCAGATTAAGAGCTTAATTTGTTCTGGAGGTCCGTTCTTAACCTGAAACTGTTCTTAACCTGAGGCACCACTTTAGCTAATGGGGCCTCCCGCTACACCGTCGCCGCGTGATTTCTGTTCTCATCCTGAGGTAAAGTTCTTAACCCGAGGTACTGTTTTTGGGTTAGTGGAATCTGTTACCCGAAGCATCTGTAACCTGAAGCGTCTGTAACCCGAGGTACCACTGTATATATAGAAATTGATTTCCTTCCACTTATTTATTTAATGTTTATACTGTCCTTCAACCGTAGATTTCAGGGCGGCTCAAACATAAAATTACAATATAAAAATCACAAAATACTTAATGGAAATTCGATGAAGAGCAACAAATACCCACCCCCTCAACACATTTAAAACGGTATTGGATGTGAAGTCCTGTTTCAAGAGGAATTTTTTACCTGGCGCCTAAAGGTGGCAGCCGAGCTTCCCTGGGGAGAGCATTCCGCAAACAGGGAGCCACCACAGAAAAGTCCCTTTCTCGTGTTGCCACCCTCCAGACCTCTCATGGAGGAAGCACATGAAGAAGGGCCTCAGGTGATGATCTCAAGGTGCGGATAGGAGGTAAACAGGGAAAGCTCTTACAATAGTAGTTACAATGTATATATTTGGATAGGTACTGAATAATAATAAAGCAGTTGTTCTAGATTCTTCCATTTCATGGTCATTGATGTATGCCACCAGTAAACCTTGTTTATTTTTCCTGTTGTTTTTCATCGTTTTACCACCTTCTTTTTTGAAAACTGCTTTGAGGGGTTTTCTTTGACAAATAACTTTTATTAAATTAAACAAACAAATAAATAAACCTTAGGATTTGGGACAGTAGGTGGGTGGGGGATCAGGGGTGGCAAACCCATGGCCCCGAAGAAGATGGATTGCAAACTCCCATCATTCCTGGCCATTTGCCATGCTGGCTAATGCTGAAGTGAGTTGGCATCCCAAAAAATATGGAAGGCCAAAGATTGCCCATCCCTGAGATACATGGTGAGGACAGGTGAAGAATAAAGTCACAGTTGTACAAAAGAACACTACACCCATAACAACACTCTTGTTTACTAGCCTCTCCGACAAGAGTTCACTATGGAAAATTTGCTCTCCCCAATGAACTGTTATGAGCAGTGACCTACTATGAACTTGTGTGATGTGACCATAAAATATGTTACAGCTCAGCAGAGTTTCATACAGTTCCAAAGAGCAGGGCAACACAGTCAACCACTTAAAAGAAATTGGTGCTGCCTGTCCCATTTATATACTAAATATGGGCATACGTGACTATGTAACTGCATCTTGTCCTATTTCAGATTGTTAAGCACTCGGCATTCTCTCCAGGAAATTAATAAGTTTATGATGCAGCTGTTCCATCTTCTAGGTTTAAAAAACAATACTGCTGTTGTAAACTACAGATTACAGTTTTTGAGCGGTGTAATCCCCTTAAAATTGGTCTTTCCCAGTTTTAATGGGAGAGCCTGTCATTCCAAGTTGGTGCATCTGAGCATCAAGGCTTAACAATATGTGCAATTTTGGACCATAGGAGGACATGTGAAATTGATAATTGTTTATGCTGTTAGTCGTTCATTTATTGAAGCGTGCTGCGCTGGGAATTCGGAGCGGATGACATTCTCTGTAGTGTGCATTCTCAGCACTCAACGAAGACGGAATGAAAAAAAGCATACAAAGAAAGATCACAGTCTTTTAAATGTTCACAATTCTCACTGGGGATGGGGGAAAAATAACAGTCGATTACTTATGTCCTTGAAAAGCACACAACAGAGAAAAAGACTGAATTACTGAATATAAAGGCAACAGGGTCAGTTGATTCCTGCTGTTTCTGACTCGCTTGGATCTGTTCTTTATGCTGTATGAGCGCATACATAAATGGCAGTATAAAAGAGTTTACCTTACAGTGGGCGTGCAAAAAAATAATGGGGAACTACAAACATTACTTATGGTGGATAAAGGAGGAAGACGCTTTTGTAGAAAAGCCCATGACCCATGTACGATATTCTCACATGTTCATCCTGTTCTCTTTAGGACTGGGCGATATATCAATATATCGTTCAAAACCGGTTTGAAGTCCATATCGTGATATCAGTTTCATAATTTTTGACCTAGCAATATCTTGTGAATCATGGGGGGTGGGGTGCGTGCGGTATGCAAAAATGACAATTGGGAAAAACTGTGAAGCTAGCCAGTGCCTCTACATAGCTCCATCCTTATTTCAGATATTGTGATATATCGGTATACCATGATGTTTAGCTGGTGATATATCACTATGTTGAAAACTAGGGTTGCTGTATTTCAAAAAGTGGAAATCCAGACACAAAACTAAACTTTTGCCTAAAATTGTTGCGCTTTCCTTGCAAAAAAATGAAATAGGGAACTACGGAATGAGCTGTTTTTAAGGAAATTCGCCAAAATCTAGATTTCTGCCATGGGATGCCATACGTCCAGATTTTCCCTGACATTTCAGCGATTTCTGCCTGGACACTGTTTCCAACTGCCATATTCAGGCTATGTCTGGGAAATTCTGGACGTATGGCAGCCCTATGAAAACCAGATATCGACTAGCCCTAATTTTCTTATTTGCTCATACTTACACATTCTCCCATACATTGGCACACGTACATTTCATGGACTTGCCCACACAAGGAACCTCAATCGCATGCTTGTATCCAAGCGCGCTCACATAACCACCCTAAACAAGTTTTACCTCAGAGTCTCTCGCCCCTATTATTCTCAGGCGCCGACTCTGTGGGAATGAAAAACTCATATTAACATGGCACAAATAATTACTTACCACAGCCCAAGAACGAAAGTTAAAGGGCCTGTCCAGAACAACACAAAAGCGAGGAGGGAAGGAGCCTATAGATTGTTTTCCCCAACTAGTTTCTGTTTCTTTTAAATCTACAGGAACTCCTGGATCCTGCCGAGGCACATAAAACCAAGTGAAAAATAGGCAGAGATTTCATCGGTAATGACTGAGGCACAGGGCATTTCCTGAGGATTAATGGCTGCCTGGGAATGGGTGAGGCCAGCACTGCAACTATCAGCCATTAGCTCCAGCTGCCCATTAATTCCCAAGACATGTTCTGCACTGGCATAACCATTACTATTATAGGCTTAAGGCGAATAAGTGCATTATAATTATTTTTTTGTTGACCATGGGAGTTTTTAATGATGATTTGGGGACATTTCCGAATAATTAATGTCTTCTGCGTTGGTTACTGTTATTTGAATCCCCTTTCAGCAGCATGCTAACTATTTACATTTTATGCTGAAACTATTCATGGCTCCCATAGGCTGCATATATAAATGTAATGTTAAAACAGGAGTGGCAGTGGTTTTCTCTCCCCTAGAGTGCACCCAGCCTCCTCCTGCATTTGTCAAGTCAAAAACAGGCTTACATCCTAATGCCCTGAGCGTTGATTCAGGGCAGATCCAAATTCTACATTTAAAGCACAGCCAACACACATTAAAAGTACACCAGTTCCCCCAAAGAATGCTGGGAACAGTAGTTGGATAATAAGAATGCTGAAAACTGATTTACATCCAATGCCCTTTTAAAATGTGTTGGGGCTGAACCTGGATTAAAAGCCATATAAGGAAACATGGTAGTGTCAGTTGAGAGCAGTGTCAGTTGAGTGCTGGTGGTTGCTAGGTTGCGGAGGTCCTTGCGACACGCCCTTCATTGTGACACCTCCCTCTGCTGGCTCCTTGGTCGCTGGGGCTCTAGAGGCATAGCCATCTCCTTTGGTTTGATCATTCAGGGACTGAGAGAGAAAGTGGATGGAGATGTAAGTAGACTTTCTCATCAGTATCAGCATTCTGTGCTGATAATGCTCCCTGACAGTGGCTCTTTTGGCGGGAAAGGGGGTTTATTGGCTTGTTGTTTATATTCTTATTATATATTTTGTAGTTTTTATGTTGATCTTTTCTGTGAACAGCCCTGAGACCTCCAGGTATATGGCGGTACAGTGAATTGGCTTCAGTACTACCAAATGAATGAATTACCGTATTTTTTGCTCCATAACACTCACTTTTTTCCTCCTAGAAAGTAAGGGGAAATGTCTGTGCGTGTTATGGAGCGAATGCCTGCGGATGGCGGGGGGATCTGCTGCAGTCGTGAGCAGAGGATCCATGGTTCCCCTTCCTTCCCTCCTCTGTGGCTCGCTTTGCTCGCTTTGAAACAGCAAAGCGGGAGAAGAGCCGCTGAGTGGGGAGAAGAGAGGGACAAAGCATGGATCCACATGGATCCTCAGGATTTTTGCACTGGGTCACCCCAAATTCACCATCAGATCACATAGCATGTCCATGGCTATAGCTTGCACCAAAAAAATCACGCACCCACTGTTGCCTGGGGTCGCAGTGGTGCAAAAATGTGGTTACAAAGCATGGATCCACATGGATCCTCAGGATTTTTGCATTGGGCTACCCCAAACTCACCGTCAGATCACATGTCTGTGGCCACAGCATGAACCACAAAAATCATACATCCACTGTTTCATTTAGAATATTTTTTTTCTTGTTTTCCTCCTCTAAAAACCATGTGCGTGTTATGGTCGGGTGCGTGTTATAGAGCGAAAAATACGGCATTTAAGATTGATAAGAGAAATGGTTTTGCAACAGAAAAAACCAAATTGGAAACGGAGTTGTTAGACACTAATGTCAAGAATATGTCTAAAATGTATAATTTGTTGTTGGAGTGGCATACAAAGGATGATCAAGTTAAATCGGTTATGATTGATTGGGCACAAGATGTGGGACATAATATAATGATGGAAGATTGGGAGAGGTTATGGAAGAAAGGAATTAAGTTTACTGCATGTACGATGTAAAAGGCAAAATATAATGAAAATGATGTATAGGTGGTATTTGACCCCTGTTAAATTAGCTAAGATTTATCATAATTGTGATAATTTATGTTGGAAATGTAAAGAAAGGAAGGTACTTTTTATCACATGTGGTGGACTTGTCCCAAGGTGAAAGACTTCTGGGAAAAGATTTATAATGAATTTTTTAAAAATGATGAAATATACATTTATAAAGAAACCAGAGGCCTTTCCCCTTGGAATAACAGGTCCTGAATTGCCCAAGAAAGATGTAAAGGTATTTTTGTATGCCACAACCGCTGTTCGAATTTTAATAGCCAAGAAGTGGAAAACACAAGAATTACCAACTGTGGAAGATTGGCAGATGAAGATGATGGACTTTATGAAGCTAGCTGACCTTACCGGAAGGATCCGCAACCAGAAAGAAGAGGAATATCAAGAAGATTGGAAGAAATTTAAAGACTATTTGAATAAATATTGTAATATTTAAAATTTGAAGTTACTTGAAAGTACTAAACAGGCCTAGGATTAAATTAAGAGTTAGTTAAATAAATGAGACCTATAATCTTAAGAAAGTTAAGAAATCTGATTCTAAATGGAATATTGTTTTCGAATAATGATATTGGAAAGCTGTGACACTCAGATACAAGGAAATTCAGATGGGAGGGACTAGAGGAAGTTAAATAATATGTTTATGAGATTGGAATTTTAACTAATCAATTAATTTGTGTTGTCTATGTGTTTGCTGTTATATATATCTTTGTTGTTTTTATATTACTTTTGTTTTACAGTATGTGTTTTATTTGTATGAAACTTAATTAAAAAAAAATTATTGTGGGGGAAAAAAGAGAACTGGCAAAATGCAGAACTGACAAAACTGACATATAAGCTATGGGACAAGGATAACTGTGACTTCAGAAGCTGAAGAGGTAACAGGGTTTAGTGAGCAGGAAGAGGCTGTGGCAGGGAGTAGTCCAGAACCAGAGGCAGAAGTGGAGGCTAGAGAGGAGGGGGGATAAGAGACAGAGATGAGGCGGGCTGCTGAAGAAGCCAGGTGGTCTCCCTCTCCTGTGGTGACCAGCTCCTCTCCCTGCTGGTCTCCTAGAACCAGAAGAGGTATGAAGAGGGCAGAACAAAGACAGATGCTTTGATGGAGTCTCAGATTGCTCGGGAAGGAACTAGAGGAGGAAACTTAGAGAGCAATGGGAAGGTGAGGACCTTCAGTCCTTGCAACTGCTTAATTGGGGCAAGACCTATTGGGAAGGGTTGCTGTGATCCCTAGGCCTGCACTGTTTCGGTTTCTTTGAATAAAGAGTTAACTTCACTGACACCTTGTGAGTTATTGCAGACCCACGCCCGACCCTCGCCTTGGTGGGACTCACGGTTGAGAAAGACTGGTCTAGAGCTGTCATCTAAAACAGGGCCTGTTCTGAAATGGCGGCTCCATAGAACCCCATCCCTTCCTTGTTGGCGTTTCATTACCAGATGAAGGCCACTCTTTTTCCAAAGGCTATTTGCGAACATTTGAGGAAATCTATTCTTGCTTTTCTCCTTGCTAGCTTTTCCACTGTCTAACTAATCAGTTATTATTTGCCAGCTGTTGCTTCAGCTGTTTGAACATGGTGTTTTATTTGTCTGTGGTTTTTTGTAATTGTTTAAATTTGTGTTCTGGCATTTCAAATGGCTTACAACCACAAACCATCTTGTGAGACCTTATGAATTAGGTGTAGCAGCCATCTTATGCCCTGCGGATGTTGCTGAACTCTGACTCCCATCTGCTACATTGGCCAGCAGTCATGAATGGTGGGAGTTGTAGTCCGGTAACGTCTTGGGTGGGGGACACTTTGGCTACCCCTGTTTTAGATCAAAAGAGGGGATGTACAAGTAAAAACAGGAGGAGGGCTCATGGAGTCTGCTTTTTATAGCATCTATCTATTTCACTCAGTATTGTCTAGGTATTGATTGACAGGTGGTGGCTGTCTAGAGTTTCAGGCAATAGGTGATGCTAGCTTGGGACTTAATTCCTGTGCTCCACCACCAAGCGATGGTCCTTCTCATAATGTAAAAGGCACCAGCTAATCAACGCAGCACTGCCTTCAGATCCTGGGAAATTGTATTAAGAGAATGTGATGGATGTGGTTCCTGAGAGGTCCCGCTGCTCAAATAATGTTGCGTTTGTACAGGGCTTCAAAGTCTGCAACTTTACGACACAGCCTCCAGGCCAAAAATACTCATCTGTGACCAAATACCAGCTTGATTGTTTAGAGATGAATATTGTCAATGGGTGTGCCAATTGTTGCACAGTTCCTTTCAAGCATGGACTTTGTCCAGTCACTATATACTTGGTAAAAGCAATAACATTGTTATCACTACCAGAGAGTTTTTCAAACTTTTTCACCCATGGCAAACACTCTCCCGTTTCCCAGATTCATTCAGTTTCTTGGCAGTTGAGTGAACTATTGACAGAGTTTAGCATGTTCTGTTTCGTATCAGCTTTACTTGTCCTATGCCATAAGACTACTGCTCACATTTCACTGATAGCAGGATGGGACTCTTATTTCCACATTACGCCATCCTGATATAGTTAAGAACTTAAGTTTCATGTAAACGAATAAGAATAAGGAGCAGAAGTATGCACAGATAATATTTAAGAAAAACCAATACTTTCAGACAACATGCGTACACATCTAACGAAGCCCGACACTTCAGATCATAAAGAACTCTCCCTTCTTTCTTTTACTAACTCAGTTTAGGCAACGGATGTCTATTCATCTTATCAGCATTTACAATCAACTGATTTGTAAGAGGAAACGTACGAGTCCAGTGATGAATGTAAATCTAGACAGCAATAGTAGCTCTGTGTTCTTACTCTAGACATTTTCTACTTTGACAACCTACGAGGGAGCATATAAAAGCGGTGAAGGAAATGCAAGACATCTGTAACAAACCCAGTGAACATGCTATTGATTTGTTTCCCTTGCTGGTGTGGTCCCAGTGTTGGACAGCTTTCTCCAGAGAAATGAGTTACATAAACAAGTCCGGTGGAGAACATGAAATTCCACTTCCATTCATCTTCTTGATTTTGCAAGCACCACATTCTGCAAACCCCATGCCAGCAAAGGCTCTTGGATCAGGCCTTGAATTCTTTCTGGATCCTTAAGGGAGGAGATATTGGAGCTGGCCAAGAATCTAAGTGGAAACTGATGACAGAAACTGACATTAATCAGCTCCACAGTATGTTCTGCCCAGCAGGTTTCTTCCAATA